AGCATAGCAACAATTTCAAAAATTCAAAAACTGGATCCACTTGGATCCAGTTTTTGTATGGATCCAAGCACATTTCAAGCGGTCTTACCCACAGCATGGTGATGTAGCCAGTGAAACTGACTGATTTGGCTTCTGGGGGCGGGGTTACAACTGGTGGCGAAATAAAAGTCACACCTGGATGCGACATGAGTGGATTGCTATGCACCCACATACTTAGGCAATAGCAAAGTCACACCTTAGTGGATCCAAAAATAGAAATCTGATGTCAACTTACTACTCCCTGGCCGTTTTGACGTCATCACTTTCAAGCCCTAAATATGTGGGTGCATAGCAACCCACTCATGTCGTATGCAGGCGTGACTTTTACTTCGCCATCAGGTGTCACCCCGCCCCCACTTGCCAAATCAGTACTTCGAAGTACTTCAAAGTAAGTTTCACTGACTACATCACATTGCTGTGAGTAACACCGCTTGAAATGTGCTTGGATCCATAAAAAAATGTGAATTTTTGAAATTGGTTCTATGCTGTGACGTAGCACTTTCAAGCCCTGTTTTAAATTTAGTGTTGGTTTGAAAGCATGAAACCACTTAACAAGTAACATAGTTGGAGGACACCGTGTTCGAAAACAGTGACTATGGTGACCTTAGACTTAGTGCAACCATCCACCGTTGGTAGAGCCCCGGTCCGTTGGCACCATCTGAACCATATGGGCGTTGAACCCGGTTCTGACCCTCATTATTGCTAGGGGAGTTTTTAGACTTCTTTCTCCAAACGTCAGTCGTGTATTCTTTGATCGCTCCTGGATGTCGTCCTGTTAGTCATACAATTTAATAAAAGAAGCTATTCTAACCTGAATTGTTTTTCTTAACTCTATTCTTTCTTCCAACTTCAGCTGACAACATTTGCTGTTACCACCATGACACTGTCGTGAGAATGTGCTCTCTGTAGACGAGGTTGATGATGTCCCGACGCGGCCATGGGAACATGTCTACAGAGAGCACCTTCTCACGACAGGTGACAGTAACTGTTGTCAGCTGACGAGCTGAGAGATAGAAACCAAGGACAGAAGAATTCAGGTTAGAATAGCTACTTTTATGACTATCAGGACGACATCCAGGAGCGATCAAAGAAAACACGACGGACGGTAGGAGAAGTCTAAAAACTACCTTACAAGCAGCAAAATGAGGGTAAGAACTGGGTTCAACACCCATATGGTTGATTCTCAGATTTTCAAACTGTGGAGCAGGGTGCAGGTTTTCACGCTCTGAGGCTCCCACCGTTTCTCGCCAGGAGAACTGGCATCAAGCCGGCCTGGTTTCAAACATAAGGATTTGGGTATTAGTTTAGTAGTAGTAGAACACTAGGTAGGCATCCGATAGCGTTGGTTCTCCTCTGCCATGCCTCCAACTAAATCTGCCATTCGTGGCCTGGGCTGGCGGATTCCGAGGTAAATTTGTTGTGTTCCCTCCCCGTTGTAGATGTGATGAAGACGTTAGCAGCATTGGTAACGGAGTTCGCACACCGCGAGGAAACATTTCTGCACCAACTACATACCTCACAACTACCAACGAACCGCTATGTATTGAAAAAATGGAGAAATGAAAAACACATCGCTATGCTTTTTTGGGAAAAGAAAGAGTGACTGAAGTGAGGCGACAAAAGAAAGAATATAACATCGCTGTGCATTTGTTCAAACCTTTTTGCATGTGTACATGTGAACATGGTTTACCGGTATCCATGTTGTGTAGCTTTCGACTACATGTATGTCGTTGTTCTCGGCTGTAGTCTAGAATTAGAATTGTATTCTTATGTATACTCTCGTGTTATGTCGCTTTGCCACTCTGTGCTGTCAGCTGTTATGATCCGCTTCCAGTTTTATTGTTGAAGTTGACGTTTCGTGTGTTTTAATAATAATAATAATAGAACAGTTCGCGTACAAGGCAGCAAATGCTAACCTTTCCGCTTCTGTCTCTTTTGGACTCTGCTACATGTGATGGTTGTGAAAAAATGGAAAAGAAAAAACCCCATGAAAGTGCACAACCGGATAGAGGTGTGTATGGTGATGGGTGTATATAAGTACGCGCATGCATGTGCTAGTGTGCGTGTGGGGAGGTGTGCGTGCGCGTGTGGGAAACGGAGTGCAAGCACTATTAGTTACTGAGCGGCCAAAATGCAGCGGTTACTGCTTGAACGTTGAGAACGGAGTTCCTTAGCGGAGCGGACAAAATGCAGCAGCTACTGATGGAACATGGCACGCCACTGATTCCTGTCAGTGGCAGTGGCGCGGACCTCTTCCAAGTTCCCCAAACTCTTCAACGGGATGTTCCTTTCTTGGAGGTCCTTGATGACCGTGGTGGCGAGTGTTGTCCTCGGTCTACCACAGTGGCCGGTAGCGTCTCGCTTCAGGTAGCATGTCATAGCTCTGAAGGCAGGTGCATTGGGGCCCATCCGTAGGACGTGCCCTAGCATTTGCGTTCTGTGGCGCTTTACAATTGCAGATATCGGTTCAGAGCTGCGCCTCTTGTACAATGCATCATTCGTTATTATGGTCTGGGTGACGAATTCCAAGAATCGGGCATAGCTGTTTCCTGTAGAATACGTCCAGGGATGCCAGGTTGCCCTCCGTGAGTCCCCACGTCTCACAATTGTAGAGGAGGGTGGAGATCACGAGGGCATTGTATACTCTCAGCCGGCACTTTTCTGATACCTCCTTCCGGAGCCATAGGGAGAACATCCTGCCAAAGACCTGCGAGGCCTTTTCCATGCGGTGAGCAATATCATCACCCTCGCCCAAAAAGGACCCAAGCTGTTTAGATTTCTTCCATCTTTCACCTTCAGACGTTAAGTGGATCCATTCTGTCTTCGTCTTGTTTACTTTCAGACCCCACACCCCGAGTGTGGTGTTTACTTTCAGACCCCAGACCCCGAGTGTGGCACTTATCGCGGGCAAAACTTCCTTGAGCCAAGATAACTTACGGGACAGGAAGTTAACATCATCAGCGTAACCTGTCTCTGGTGGGATCATGTTATCATGCTCTCGCCTTGGAGGGAAACGACACTCCCGAAGGGCAGCCTCCAGGTAACAAACAAACAGTATCGGGCTGAGCCCATTTCCCTGCGGAGTCCCGATATTTGCTTCGAAGGGATTGGATTCCCTCCTGCCGATCTTGACTGCTACAGAGGTACTATACAGCAGGTGTTGAATCATACACACCTCATCTGAACCCGCAATGCCCGCCATGACCTCCACCACCTTCGCTCGGTCAAGTGTGTCAAAAGCACGGGACATATCTAGTCCTAGTATGTGGCAGTCCCAGTCGTATCGAATTGCTTTATCTGCAAGCCATCGGATGCACCATACAACGTCACTAGTGCTGCGACCTGCCCGAAATGCAGATTGAGTGGGCCCAAGGAAGTTAGACACTTACTTCGATATTCGGTTCAGAACTGTTGAGGCAACGAACTGAAATAATAAAAACCAAACCAAACCAAACCAACCAGAACAATGAGAGATATGACTTTGCGGATAGTATTGAGGAGGGTGATAGGGCGTAGGTTTGCTGTTGATCCCTTCTGTTTGTTTGGTTTGTTTAGCGGGACAATCAAGCCACTGCTTAAAGTGGAAATAAGATTGTCTCCATTCGTGATGCACGAATTGTTGATTTCCGATATGACTGGAGCAAGCTGACTACAGAAGTACTTGATCAGCTCTCCCTGGATACCATAAGGACCACATGCACGACAATTGCACAATTTGAAGGCTGCCTTTATGACTTCTGCTGGTTGGATAGGATTCTGCAGTTGGTGTGGCCGGGGTTGATCAATAGGCACTGCGGTGGGACTGTGAAACAGGCGCTCAAAATGGGTTGCTGCTGCTTGAATCTTTTCCGTGTCTTTGCGAAGGGTTTCACCGTCCTCTGAATGGATTACTAGCTGGGGTTTGTTGCTTTTCTTCAGTGCGGATGCAGCTGCGAAGTTGGGGCGTTCTCTACCTCAGCGGCAATGTGATCTATCTTGTCATTGGCTTCTTTTCTCTGGAGTTCCCGGATTCTGTGCATCAACTGTGGAAATGAGGCCGAATAGGAGAGTGAGTTTCAGAGGTGTTCATCAACTTTCATTACTTTTCTGACAAGCAAAACTGACTGGCTGACAACGTCTTGGCAAGACCGAAAACCGCCAGAACAGAACGAAAAACAATTAGGTTGTATCCAGAAAGATAAGCACGAGAGTTTCAAATAAATTCAAATAACAGCAGCCACGTGGTACGACGCATCACACGGAAAAGGCATGCATAGTCCAAGTGTGTCGCGGCGTGCAAGGCACAGCGAGTAGTAAACTTATAAGTATGTAACATGCGATACATGGAATGCATCACGACGTCACAATCAGTGTGTCTCATCGGAAGACCTTCTGAACATCCTCCCCTACATTGATTAAACCAGATTTAATCAAGTACACAATAAATTAAACGATAAAGAAATAGACCGAACAGAAAGCAGTGGAGAGAGATGAGGAGAGATAAGAGCAAAAATGTGCTGCTCACACACAGAGTCAATCCTCGGCAATCCTGCACAGCTGTGCGATGGGGCGGACAAGTGAAGTGTCACCGACCTTCACTCGCACCACTCTGACCCGCCCATCGACTCCGGGGAACAGCTGCTCTACCCGGCTGAGCCTCCATTGGCCTCGTGGTGCAGCAGCGTCGACGATCAGCACAACACCATCGATACCGAGATCGGGCTGCGGCTGGCGCCATTTTGCTCGCGGGTGAAGCAGGGGGAGCATTTCGGTCATCCAGCGCTTCCACACCTGCAACACCAGACTCTGGATGACCCGCCAGCGCTGTCGATGGCCTTGCTCCACGGTGTCCGTTCCTCTGGGAACAAATGGCTCGCCTTGGTGTCCATACAGGAAATGGTTGGGCGTCAGTGGCAGCAGATCTCTCGCGTCGGCCGACTGGTACGTCGGTGGCCTTGAATTCAGTAGTGCCTCTGCGCCAGTCACTGCGTCAGGAGTTCCTCGTCATTGACTTCCGCGCCCGACAGGATCGCATAGATGGCGCGCTTTGCTGACTTGACGAGTGCCTCATGGACGCCACCGAAGTGAGGAGCAGCGGGGGGATTGAACGACCACCGAATTCCCTTGTCCGCTAATCGTCGGTCCACGCCTTCATTCATCGCGGCCACTAATCTCCGCAGTTCATTGGCAGCGCCTACGAAGTTGGTGCCATTGTCGGACACAACCTGTAGTGGAACACCGCGCCTGCTCGTCATCCGCATGAAGGCGTTCATGAATCCATCCACGTCAAGACTAACGGCCATCTCCAAGTGCACCGCGCGAGACTGCATACACGTAAATAAGCACAGGTACCTCTTCGCGCGCGGCTTTCCGCGACCTTGTTTGGTGGTGAAGGGTCCAGCGTAGTCCACTGCTACTCTGGAGAACGCTCTCATGGGCAGAGACACACGGACGGTCGGTAGCGGTGCCATGATCTGCATTCCTGGCTTCGCTGATTGTCGTTGGCAATGGGCACACTTCTTTTTCCACGCTTTGATCTCCTCTCGTCCAGCAAGCAGCCAATACGTCTGCGACAAGAGAGCCAACGTGTGACTTACTCCGCCAGCATGATGGCTCTGCTCATGGGCTTCCTTAATAGCTGAGTGACCCAGTGCCCGCGTGGCAGGATGACAGGGCATCTGGCTGGCTGCTCGAGTATCTGCGCGTTTCGCAGTCGACTGTCAACGCACAGCAGTTGATCATCATTCAACATAGGTCGCAGCTTAACGAGTTTGCTCGAGGTGGGGATGGGCTTGCCTTCTTTCACAAGACGATATTCCTCTGCCAGCGCCTCTTCCTGCGCACCAGCAATGATACTGGTTTTGCTGCTCTCGAGCTCGTCTACGGATAGCGGACCGGTGTGTCGCAGCTCATTTGGCACGCGTCAATTCTGCACGAAGCGCGTCACCCAAGCGCGCTGTCGGAGAAGACGATTGAGGCTCGAGAATCGTGTCGGGTCGAGTAACCAGGGTAGCTCGGCGTCAGGATCTGTAACTGCTACCAAGGCAACCGGTGCTTGGACAGACTTTGCGTTGTTCTTCTGCTCCAGGTGAGTAGTAGATCTTGGCTCACTGAGACGCATTGTCGGCCACTCATCCTCGCCTTTGCGGAGGAAGTCGGGACCCAACCACCAGAGCGCATCATCGATGAGAGCACCAGCTGACGAACCACGGGACAAAACATCTGCTGGATTCTCCTTCGTCGGCACATGGCGCCATTGACTGGGAATAGTGTGTTGCTGAATCTCACCTACGCGCGTTGCAACGAATGGCTTGAAGTTCCGCGCACGGTTCCGAACCCAGTACAGGACGTTGAGGCTGTCTGTCCAGATGACAGTGTCGTGGACCGGTAGACTGAGGATGTCGGATGCCCAAACTGCTATTTCCATGCCAATTACAGCAGCTGACAGCTCTAGCCTGGGAATTGAACAGTTACGGTGGGAGCGACACGGGATCTACTTGCGATGATAGCGGTCGACACATGACCGTCTTCATACGTGCAACGCAGATAGCTCACCGCGCCGTAGGCGCCTTCAGACGCGTCAGCGAACACGTGGATCTGCTTACTGACGGGGTTGCCTGCATTAACTTCTTGCAGACAGCGCTGGATGCTGAGACGGGAGAGTGCTGCTAGATCAGTATACCATCCGGTTACGCGTTGATTGAGCTCATCAGGGAGCGGGTCATCCCAGTCCATACCTGGTAGCCACATGTCCTGCACCAACATGCGTGACTTCATGATGAACGGGGAGACTAACCCCAGCGGGTCGAAGACACTAGCTGTCGCACTCAAGAATGAGCACTTGGTGATGCGCTGCTGGCCTGGTGCTGTTGGCTTGAACGCAAAGGTGTCGGTCGTGGCCGACCACAGCAGTCCAAGTGTCTTGATGCTTGGCAGCTGCGGGGAGTCGAGGTCGATCTGGCTTGCTCGATCCTCCTTGGGCACTTTCTCCATGACTACTTTGGAGTTCGAGAGCCATTTTCGGGCGCGCATGTCAGCTCCCTGCAAGCATTCCGACAACTGCTCGTACAGCAGTACGCCTTCGACGTCATCCATAGCAGAATCCATGGAGTCGTCCATATACGTTGACGCAAGCATAGTTTCGGCTGCCAACGGGTACTGCTGCTGATGGGCTCTAGCGTGCTCGTGGGATACAAACTGCGCCAAGAATGGCGACGCGTTAGCTCCGAAAACCAGTCGTTGAAATTCATATACTCGCGGAGCCGCCGTGTCATCCAGGTCACGCCATAGAAATCGGTGATACTGCCGGTCCTCAGGACGCAGTCCGATGCGCAGATACATTTCTGCGATGTCACAAACGATGGCTACGGGCTTCTGGCGAAAACGGGTCAGAACGCTAGGAAGTTGCCGCTGTAGCTTCGGCCCTGGAAGCATCGTGTCGTTGAGAGATGTGCCCTCATACTTCGCCGATGCGTCAAATACGATCCGGGTCTTTGTTGTCGCTTTGTCTGGTCGCAGTATGGCAAAGTGGGGCAGGAACCACTGCTGACCAGGCTTCAACTCGTCCTTGGCAACCTCACGGACGTAGCCTTTGTCGACATAGCTCTTGATGATGCTGCTGTAGGCTGCTGCTGCATCCGAGTCGCGCGCCAGTCGCATCTCCGTGCTACGTAAACGCTTCATGGCCTGGGGAAAGTTGTCAGGAAGCGTAGGTGGTCCATCGCACCATGGAATGCCAACCTCGTAGCGTCCGTCTACGAGCTGCAGCGACTGTTTCGTAGCGTGCACTACCTCCTTCTCCTGCGCCGACAGGATGGCTTGCTGTGGCTCAGCCCGGTTGTATTGTTCTAGCTGCCACAGCTGTGCGAAACTGTCCCCGACATCCAGTGGCACTGCCTCAGCCAACAGGGTGACGGGATTCGTTGCTTTGCTGCGATTGACGCGCCCGACACAGGTCCAGCCGAGAGGTGTAAGTCGGGCTGTCGGCTTGCCGGGGCCACCCTGGATCTCCTGCAGCGACCTATGCAGCTCGGCGCAGTCCAGGCCGACCAGAACGTCAATTTGACGGCGCTTCTCCAGTGCTAGGAAGGGAAAGTTGAGCAGGTGAGCCCACTGCTGCTTCTTATACTGCCAGTTGACCGTGCCGCTGGTTCCAATCACTGAGTCGGCAGTGTAGGCGTGCATTGTCATGCACATGCGGCAGTCTATACTGGAAAGGTTCAAGGAAACTGATGTCGTGCGGAAGACCTCTGTGCGGCCGCTGAGCACTTTTACCGTCAGATCCTCTTGCTCTCCAGCAAGACCGAGCTCACTCGCAACATGCGAGCTGACGTATGAGTTCGTACTTGCGTCGTCTAGCAACGCATTTACTCTCAGCTCCGCCCCGTTGTGCTTCAGCAGGACTGGCACTGTCCGCATGGCCACGGCTGGGGTAGCAGTGCTTGCGGTAGAGAGCGTTGTGCGCGACTCGTCCTCCTCGGAGGCTGAGGCTGCTGACTGTTGTTGCTGACTGTCGCTCGAAGATCGAGCAGGCGGACTGGCTTGCTTGTTCAGACCATGTAGGAGTCGGTGGTGTACTTTGGTGCAGCCGCCGATCCCGCACTCGCGACCCCATGAGCAATCCTGTCCACTGTGCCCTGTGTCGAGGCAACGATAGCAGAGGCCCTTTTCCTTCGCCAGCTTCCAGCGCTTATTGGGGCTTAGCGCTTTGAAGGCAACGCATTGCCAAGCTCTATGCTGGCCTCCGCAGGATGCACACTGTGACTGAGGCTGACTGCTGGTCACTAGCGTCCTAGGCTGTTCACTGCGATAGTCTCGACCTGTGCGGGAATAGTCGCTCCTGCCGCTGGTGCCGAATCCGCTGACAGTTTCGGATGCAGTAATCAGGAAATCTGCCTCCAATGTGCAAAACTCAAGCAGACCGTGCACCGATTCCGCCAGAGACCGATCGTAGCGCCATCGATGGTAGCGTACAACAATCTGCTCGTCCAGCTTCCGCAGCAGGGTAGTATAAAAGGAGCCTGCCCCAAGCTCAGCAGCGCGACCAGCGTCTTCCAGGTTGACCACAGCTACTGCTAAGAGCTCAGAGAACTGCTCAAGGTCTTTCGCCTTGCCATGCCGGACTGGTCGCATGGCCTCGATCTCCTCGAGATAGATTGCAATACGCCGCCGTTCACCGCCATACTTCCGCAGCAGCAAAGCTTTGGCCGCGTTGTACGCAGCAGCTGAATATCCGAAGCTGTCAATGGCACGCAACGGCTCTCCTCGCATGCGATCGCAGGTACTGGCGCAGACGCAACATCTTGCAATCTGCCGTGACTGGTGCCATGTCAATGCAAGTCGAGAATGCGGCCCACCAGGACTGGAAGCAGCGCTTGTCTCCGTCAAAAACTGGGATAGTAATCTTCTGGAGATGCGCCCAAGCATTCTGATACTGATTGGTTTCTGCAACAACCGGTGTGCTGTGCGCTGCCCGAGGTGACGCTGCGGCAGTTGGCGGCTGGAACGCAGTGTCGGGATGCTCACTCCACTGCGGTGCAATACCCGAGTCCCTGTAACTCGGAACGAAGGACCTGGCTGCATGCCTCAGACTTCTTGCGCCAGTGAGCAATGGTGCGGTCCTTTCACCTGCTGTGGCATGGCACAGCTCGTGCTCCCGGAGTCCCCGCTGACATAGCAGACCCCACACTCAATACGCTCACAGCACTGGCGTTGCCTGGTGAGTTACCATCCACGACTCGTTTCTCCGTCCTCATGCTGCTGCTGCCGATGCTTGAACTACCAGGCACTGTGTTGTCGCTAGATGGAAGAGGGAGTGGGGAGAATCCAGCACCGTGGTGCAAACCCGGGCCAGTATCCCGGATGATCGGCTGTGTAGGCGTGCATTGTCATGCACATGCGGCGGTCTATACTGGAAAGGTTCAAGGAAACTGATGTCGTGCGGAAGACCTCTGTGCGGCCGCTGAGCACTTTTACCGTCAGATCTGGGGGTCTGTCCTGGGGGGGGGGGGGGGGGAAATGAGGCCGAATAGGAGAGTGAGTTTCAGAGGTGTTCATCAACTTTCATTACTTTTGCTCACAAGCAAAACTGACTGGCTGACAACGTCTTGGCAAGACCAAAAACCGCCAGAACAGAACGGAAAACAATTAGGTTGTATCCAGAAAGATAAGCACGAGAGATTCAAATAAATTCAAATAACAGCAGCCACGTGGTACGACGCACCACACGGAAAAGGCATGCATAGTCCAAGTGTGTCGCGGCGTGCAAGGCACAGCGAGTAGTAAACTTATAAGTATGTAACATGCGATACATGGAATGCATCACGACGTCACAATCAGTGTGTCTCATCGGAAGACCTTCTGAACAAACTGGTTTCTCTGTTTCTTGATTGCTTGATCAGTGTTGCCCGCTGCCATCTGTACCCTCAGTTCTCGCTGCTGTTTTGATAATTCAGCTACGGCAGGATTGGGCATAACCACTTTCCCAGCTGCAGTCCGATGCATGTAGCCTGCAGTTGATGCAGCGGACTCTTTCATTACAGCAGTAATCGGCTGCCAAACATCCGTGGGTGATTGATTATGTTGCCCATGTTCCTTTGTACTGCGGACTGATACTGGATAGCTATTTTGCAAGGCGGTTGACAGCTAGTGGGCGCTGCTGCTTCTTTCCACGAGGTTTAGCACTGTAGATTCGGAAGAGACTGCAAAACTCCATATCAGCAATTACCAGCTTATGATCGCTTGTCACTTCCCTACCTGAATAAGACCGTGCCTTCCCCACCAAGGGTCTGAAGCGCTCTGGGACGATAACCAGGGGCGGATCCAGGAATTTTTCAGGGGGGGTTCAAATTTTTTCGAGTGCACAGAATTAAATTCGCTTCAAATTGTTTTCGGTTCGTTCACTACGTATACACCGAGAGTTGCAAAATCGTTATTGTCACGGTAGCCCTGGCATTGCTTGGCAATACACACAAGACAAGGGTAATGCGTTTAGAGCCTTACAAAGTCCAAAGCTGCAGCACAGGCAGAAATTAAGGCCGTGTCTGCAGCATTTTCCGAACTGACGGAAGGCGAAGTTCTTTGACTGTCCTCCGGCTGGGACTCCGTGTCGTCACATTTGCGCCGTACATGGCGGAACGAAGCCAAGCTCAATGGCAACTGTCTGAACTGATCGGCAGCTCGCCTCTTTGGCAGACGTCGCGACATGGCAAACTACACGACAAACACAAACATTATCTTCGTACTGCGACGGAGGAAACCTACAGTCCAGCCAGCGCGAAATAAAACAAAACGACAAGGAAGGTAAGGAGGACAAGTGGCAGTTTCTCCACCTTTCGCTCCACCGCGACATGGCAAACTACACGACAAACACAAACATTATCTTCGTACTGCGACGGAGGAAACCTACAGTCCAGCCAGCGCGAAATAAAACAAAACGACAAGGAAGGTAAGGAGGACAAGTGGCAGTTTCTCCACCTTTCGCTCCACCGCGACATGGCAAACTACACGACAAACACAAACATTATCTTCGTACTGCGACGGAGGAAACCTACAGTCCAGCCAGCGCGAAATAAACCAAAACGACAAGGAAGGTAAGGAGGACAAGTGGCAGTTTCTCCACCTTTTCCTCCACCGCGACATGGCAAACTACACGACAAACACAAACATTATCTTCGTACTGCGACGGAGGAAACCTACAGTCCAGCCAGCGCGAAATAAAACAAAACGACAAGGAAGGAGGACAAGTGGCAGTTTTTCCTCCTTTTGCTCCACCACTTGAACTGTCGATCGTTTCAAGTCACATGCGTACAGACCCTTCGATTCGAACGGTAGATCTACGCGTCCAACAGTCCCGACCACTGCATGCATGCAGTGACCTAGTACATGTACCTGCACTGCCTGTACGTAACTACTGCATATGCATGCAGGATTGCCAGTGAAGTCTACTGGCTACGCTGCATGTAGATCTACGCTACACTTCGCTGGCTGCGCACTTGGAGATCACAAAAAAATCGACTGGACCCTGGCCATGGTCGAAATTATTTTAGGGGGTTCGTCCGAACCCCCTGAACCCCCCCTGTATCCGCCCCTGATAACATAGTCGATAGTGTTGTAGATCTGCTTTTTGACTCCAGTATCCGTGCTAGTTACTGATCCCGTCCATGTGGTTCTGTAGCGAATGGAATATTGAAACAGTGTATTGGTCAACACAAGGGAGTTTGACTGAGTCCACTGCACAAGGGCTTCACCGTTCTCGTTGCGTGTACCTCTCGAAAAGGCACCCACGGACGCACACTGACGACTACCAACTTTGCTGTTGAAGTCTCCTACACAAAACACTAGTGTCCTCTTGTTTTTAGCTCGCAGTCCTTGAGAAAGCTCGTCATATAATTTGTCTCGTTGCTCTGGGTTCTGCTTGGCGACTGGGTTGGTTGGACCATACGCAATTATGAAGCGAACAGGAACTCGTTCGTTGCTCTTGTTGTCGACCGGTAGCGACGGCAATAGGAAGTCCGCGTATCCTACACGGTCGGAATGTTTTTGAATTTTGTGAGGTACTGCTGGAAATTGTTGGATGGTCTTATTTATTCATTTTGCCTATTCTGCCGTAGCACGCGTGTGTTTACCTCATCAGCCTCGCTCATTCCTCATTTCTTTAGTTCATTTGGCTTATGCGAAGACTAGCCAAGCTTGCTTGGTGATGTCAACGCAAACAAGCAAAATAATAATGATAATGCATTTGTACAAAGAGAACGGGAAAGAAACTGTACAACTACAGTGCGTATCGGTTAGGGCCGATTCCCACTACGGTACCGTGAGTGCCGTGCCGACGATTTGGGTAGGTCACGTGTACCCCACGGTACGAGCTTGAAGCTGAGAGTGATTTACACCTGCGCACAGTCATTCCGTGCATTCCGTCGGTAGGCCGGATCACCATTTCATCAATTTCTGACTTTGGTCCTGAGGGAAAATAGCGGGGGAGAGGACTGGAGAAAGCTCAAGAATCAACCAATCGAAAAGCCAAAAAGCCAAGAAAAAACTTCGTACCACAAATACAAAAGAAAGAAAAACCTTCCTTTCAGGGAGTAGTAAAATACCTACTACTCACTGCATTCGACCTCACGGAATACCACGGCATGCCATTTCCACCCCCCCCCCCAGAGACCCTCAGCACGGGAATGTCCACGGCGCGGTACGGCAGGAGCCACGGAATGAACTCGCGCCAAAACTGCCCCTCACGTGAGCAAATCACCATATGGGTACTCACGGCACGGCACTCACGGTACCGTAGTGGGAATCGGCCCTTATAGTGTGGTCGTATACAAGAATATACTGCCTACAAGAATGAACACTCATTTTTTCATAATCATAACACAAATTTTAGGTGTATATTTATTCTTACAAGCAGTATTATCGCATAGTAGAATATATGTGCCCTAAGAATGGATTTTGTGTAGCAAAATATGCCAGATTAGTGCAAAGTGTATCGCCTGTAGTAATAGCATCTGTGCTCTGTGCATACTCAATACAATAATATTCAACACAAAAAGAGAGTTGTGTCCAACTGAGCATTGGAGAATCACTTTTTCTGTCCGGTAGGACTCTTTCGTCCGACTTCTCTCGTATCTGCTGCTCGGCAGTCGCCTAGCACGACCGCGAGTCTGATCCGTGTGTATCATGTGTAGACCTACATGATTGTACGTGTGCACATGCCAAACGTGCGCGCATATTATGTCACACGTGCATATGATATGTCACACGTGATTTATCAGGTGTAAGAAATATCGGCAATGAGAATCAAATGTCGTGTTTCAAACACCCACGCTATAACCGATACCTACTGTACAAGGAGGAAAGCTATGCGCTGAATGTGGAATACCGTTGTGTATGACAAGGTAGAAAAAATGCAGGAAAGAGGAAACATGCCTGAGGACGGATCTTGATCTTTACGAAAAATGATTTTCATACACCAAACGCATGTACTTCATTACGTCCCCAGGAAACCAGTTGCCGAAGAATGCCAACCGGAAAAAGATCTTGGAAAGAAAAAGAAAGAGTGAGCGAAGCGTACAACGCAGAAAGACGGGAAAGAAACTGTACAAAGAGAAAAATGATGCGCAGGATGTGGAATATTTATATATTTATTACAAAATCTCAAGACTCGGTGGGAACACCAGCCAATGTTAAGAGAGTGGGTGATTGCCAACCACGGCGATAAATAAAAGTAAGGGGAGGGAAAAAGAAAGAGTAGCAAAATGAACAGCAACAACAACTCCGTAAAGAAAGATAATGTGAAAAAACCGATTGTGTATGAGTATAACACGTGGACACAATGTCCGAATAATGGCTATGGAGTCTGATAACATAACGGAAACCCCTTTTCAATACAATGATGTAGCCGATAAGGTCTAATAACATGCATGATG